ATTGTTCTACGAACAAAATTTTCAGCTATTGAATCATTATAATGTATATATTGATATGTGGGATTAAGACGAATAAATGAATTAGCAGCAATATTGACATCAGATGAAGATTTTGATGTTTGAATTATATATTTTGGAATATTTGGAACATAAATAGGTATACCTGACCATTGAATAATTTCTAGTGAGTCTGTCCTAGAAATCGAATACCAATTAAACAATTGCCATAAGATAAATATCAACACTAAAATTTTACTTAATAATGATAATCGAAAAGGATTACGTCGTATTCGACGTAATCTTACCATTAATATTCACGTCAATCTGGATAATATGTATATTTTACATATACCGAACCGATGCTTACATAGAAGAAATAAAGAATGAACGGTAATGAAGCGTAACGAAGATACAAGAGAAGAATGATGAATAAAATCAATATATCTCAATGTAATGTTTTGTTAAATTGATAGAAAAAATCGTATCATATATAAAATTATTTTTCAATCAATAATTCATATATGTAAGTGTATACAATCAGTGCGCATTCAATATTTATTCATTTATTTGATTGTTTAAGTTAAAACTTTGTCGTTATGAATTAAGATAAAAAAATATGTGTATAATTTATATAATTTTTTTATCGATAAACTTGACTTTGTTGATTAAATAAGAATTCGTGCCTTGTATTGAATATATGAATGAACGTATTACTTGTTGCTTTATAAATAAACGAAATTTTGATGCAAATGATTACAATCTCGACGTTTCCACTAATTTCAATAGTCATTAACTAGAGAAATAACATCACCACCACCTAATGTTTTGTTTTTACTAATAAACATAAAATAATTAATTTAGTAAAAAAAAATGTTTATAAATAAACGAAATTTTAATGTGAATTTTATTCAGTGGAAACGTCGAGATTGTAATCATTTGCATCCAAATCAATCATAGAATTTCGTTTATTTGTAAATATTTTTTCGTACTAACTTAATTATTCATTGTTTTATTTTACTTTCGATTAAAAGTTCTTACAAAAAGAGAATACATTCTCAGCAACTATTATATGTTTCGTCATACTTATTTTATAATATTTCAATTCACAACAAATATATAGTAAACAGTAAGAAAATTTTCTTGCTTCTGATATTTATTATATATTCTATGAAATCTTAAGTAAATAATGATCCTAGACAAGAACAACAGATATTGATATGCATTTTTTTCTTTTCTTTTTTTATCATATTACAATATTATCGTTTGTGCATTTAAATTATTTAAGTTCTTTACGTTACATATATATCATAAAACAAGTATAAAAAACTAGAAAGAAAGATGATGTTATTTATGAATGTATGACAAAATAAAGATGTAAACCAAATTTGTAATTATAATTTAAATAATATTTTTGTATGAAGTGCGTATAGTACTAACATCCATGTATACTGTTATGTCTGAGTTCCATTTCTAGAATAAATTGTGCTTAGAATCTATAAAACAATTTATTAGAGCGACGTTTTATTTTGAAAATATTTACAAGGAAATATAAGTAAAGTCTTATGTATACTTTAAAACGATCAAGTTTTCAAATAAAATATTGATTCTTTGCTTCTACGAAAAAAGAATCGAAGGGGATAAAAAAACGACGTTTTATTTCTCTTACGGCTTCAAAAAAAGTCGTTTCTTTATTTTTATCATAGTATATTAACCTAAAAGAATCTCTATAAAACATTTCTATCTTCATTTAAATCTCATAAAAAAATTCCATGTATTTTTGGAATATACTAGAAAAGAAATGTAAATACTCTAATTTATATACAGACACACGTTTAAATTTGAATAAGACAATAAACGAATGGATTTTACAATATAATAGTGGTGTCATTTGATGCTTTTTCTCATCGTATAAAGACGACGCATGTGATTTATACTTTAGTTCCTATTAACCTTTCCTTGTAGGGGGATATAATTTTAAAAAATATATTTTATTACAATTAGTTTAGTATCAAATAACAGTCTATACTTCAATCAATAATTTCTTCGATCATCAAACGAATATTATCGTCCAAAATACCAAAAAACTGATGTATGAAGTCAAAGATTAAACCATTAAGAATTTCATACAACTATCACTATTTCCTTTATTTTTAAATTATGCTCTCGATTTTCATGATAAATTCAAATCAATTTATGATAATGTAGTTAATTATAGTGACAAAAAACAATCACTTATGAATATTCGTTGATGCAAAACTGTTTATTGAGATAGTTAAAGTATCTATTTAAGATATTGTATAAAACTGGCGTGGAAAAAAAATGAAAATTGTAATAGTGAAGTTTTATCTTCAATATCACATGAGATTCCCAGAATTTTGATATGATACAAAATAATTGTTTTTATTCTTATTCAAGATACTTCGTATTTGTCTATAGATATCAATATCATACATCTAGGTCGAGTCTTGATTAAATGTAGACGAAAATAGTTTTTTTCGTAAATAATCCGCAGACGTAAACATGTTTTTGATGTAATTTAATCGTTATAAATCACTTTTTCGATATATATATATACCTACGTAAAAGATTTGAAATAAGTTAATCAAGATCCGTGAAAAGATATTCCAAATGTACTGTAATAATATTGCTTCTGTGTTTTTTATTATTGTTTGGTTATGTTCACTGGGAGAATGCGCCGTCTTACGAACATACATCAATGGTGAATATAAAAGTATGTTCATATTAAACTCTATAATTTCTAGGAATAAGTTTTCTCATTTAAAAGATAGTGTATCTGATTTGAATTGTAATCAATATAATAATGATTATGATATTATTCGTCAGTTTCCTTTTCCACTTTTGATTAATCCAGTTGAATATGCATTCCATAAAAGTGCAGTTGTTATGTATAAGAACAATAATGCATCAATTCAAGAAATTTATATTATGGATGAAGAAATAGTTCCATCAAGTATATTTTGTTTATCAAATCTTGAAGAATTAACCATCATATCGACACCATTTCAAAATGGTATTATTCCTGATGCTATAGAAAATTTAAAACAACTACAACAGCTTATGATTTATGAATCACCTATTAAAAAAATAACAGAAAAATTGGTAACACTTCCTAAACTTTTAACGTTACTTTTAAGCAATTGTTCATTAACTCATATACAAGATCTTAGTAAACTTAAAACACTTGAAATGCTTGAACTTTCAAATAATTATTTGACGCATATCAATGAAGTTCCAGATCTAGGATTATTGAAACTTGATGGAAATCTTTTCAAAGAAATACCAGTAATAAAAAATACGGACAACATTTGGTTCTTAGATATGAACAAGAATCCTTTGATAAATGCTTTACCAATTTTATCGTACAAAAATGTAAGATATATCTTTTTAGAAAATGCAACATTAACATCGATTCCACCTACAATTGATAAATTACAAAAAATTGAATATCTACTTTTAACGGATAACAAAATATCATATCTTCCAACTAATGTACTTAATTTACCTAATCTTAAAGAATTCTCTATTAGGAATAATTTATTATCATCTGGTGATATGAAATTAATTGAAACAGCATTCAAAAAATCGCATCCAGATTTATATATATGTGTTTGATGGATATTCCAAGCAAAGACATGGAACTTTTCTTATCAATGTAAAACTAAAATAATAAAAAAAGGCTTTTTCGATTATCTTATCTAATAAAATAAATTTGAATAACTTTTGCAATTGAGAGAAAAAATCAATTTGTATTATGTTGTTTTGATGATTAGTTCAGACTTTGTTGTTACTATACTGAAATGAGAAAAGAAATACTATGAAGTATCGGATTACTGTCAATCAGTGTTTGAGATTAGTAGTAAATAAATCAAGTTTGTTTGAAATTTTGGTAATATTGATTTTGATTGTCTTTATTTTTTGATGGTTGAACATTGTTTTCTGATTATTTAGTAAATATATCAGTTCAATGATGTAGACAACTGGTTATATTTAACAAACTTATACATATATTATTTTAATTTCTTAAGTAATTTGAAATATATAGAAAGTTTTTCATTGAAAAAGATTTGTTAAAATCGATTTTCTCTTTCTAAATTCAAGTTGTCATTCATCTAGTACTGATTCATTCACAATTATCTTGAATACGAATAGCAAAGAACAAAAGATAAAATATCAGTTCAGACAAACAATGTATATCCCTGCTCATTTAGTTCCCAGTTGGTTTTTACCGTCTGATATATATAAAGATTGGTTTCTGCTATTGATAAATCATGAAAATTACATTTAGACGTCTTACATTCTCATATCCTACAAGGGAATATCTCCAGATGTGTCTCGATGCGTATATTCTTCGTTTATTCGCTGTACTATCTCGGCTTTCGTATATCAATTATATGCTTTCAATAATGTTTTTGATTCGAAAAGAGTACGTGATAACCTTTCGCAATCCCTAATATATTATATTTCAGTGCTTTTAACATAAACTTGATAAATATTAACAATTTTTCTTAAGTAAAAATTCATCATCTAGCAAAGCATATGAGTAGATATTTTATAAGATCTTTCAACTGTAATTTTTTACAGATATAGTTGCATCCACTACTTGTTTCGCATTAACATTGCTGAATTATAATCATAATTGATCGAGACATGTATTCTATAACACTAATATTATATTGTTATTCTTGGTATAAAAATTAACAACAAGTACAGCACAAAATAGAGTTTCGATTTCTGTCATATACAAGATAACGTTATAAATGAATAACGAAAAAAAAAATAACTTTGAAATAATATGTCAATATTGATAATCCACTTGTATTTGTTATCTGTAATAATAGAACTAAAAAAAGTAGTGACAGCGGTGAGATTCGAACTCACGCCCTTTCGGACCGGTGCCTTAAACCGGCGCCTTAGACCGCTCGGCCACGCTGCCTATTTAATCCGTCAATAAAAGTAATCGAAATAATAACCGTATGACATCTATTCTATATATATTTACAAAATAATCCATCATTTTCACATTAAAACTAATAGACAATTAAAGTAAAAGGATAGAAATTTTTTTTTATTCAAGATCATGATTATATATAGAATTAATTTTACTTTGAAGTTTGAAAAAAAATCTTATTCCAAGAAAAAATTGATTCTAAAGTCAATAACTCAATCTCATTTATCTTTTTAAACGAATTTTCTCTAAATGTCAGCAGACACATGTATACGAAATATTCATGCATTGATTATGATTTTGTTTTATTTTTAGAAGAACATTTTAGCAATGTTGTTTTATTCAAGGTCGATAATCGTAATCGTTGAAATAATAATAATATCGTGTGTTTTTAATTCATCTTTTTTTTTGTTCTATGGTTAGATAAAGAACAAAGGAAGTGAAGAATTAAAATCAAATACTTGATAATAACTATGTTCCGAGTAAATGAAAGATTCTTTCCGAGATATAAAAAATACAAATGAATCATCACTATTGATTGCATATTTTTAGAAAGAGTGCCTATATTTATTCTATGACATAGATTTTTCTTGTCGATGTAATGACTCATAAGTCTTGACTATAAATGTTTTACGTCAATCGTGTGAAGAATAACAGAAAAGAAAAAAAGCAAAATTATATTAACAAAAATGTAAGTGTCTTTAATAGATTTTATATACATTCAACTAATGTATTGTAAATACTTACATATAGTTTTGTGTGATGTTATGTATTCTCTCATATTCTATATATTTTTCGAGAGCAAAATGTGTTATATTAATTGTTTACTTACATGGAGGAAAGTTTTAGTACTTTTTCATTGAAATAAATAAATTAGAGATGCGACAATTTAAAGATTTGCCTATTATTTTGATTTTATACCTTTCTTGATCGTATTTTAAAAACAATAATAAACGTGCAAATATTTATTTTTTACTAGTTCTTCTTTTCTTAATCGTGACACGCTGTTTTTTTTACGAACATAATTTTTATATTTTGTCTATTTATTTGCAATATTTTTTCTTTCGATTTACGTATAAAGTAATTTTTATTTTTTATTATATTGCAGTTGATCAATAATGGCCTCATCATCCCGAACAATTTGTTCTGAATGTATGTCAACTGCAAATTATAAACGTAATGGTTCTAAGAAAGCCTACTGTAAATTTCATAATGATCAACATCGAAAACTTCTTGATGAACAACTCGATTGGTTAACTGTCGATCATGATGATCTTCAGCAGAAGCTCGTAGATCATGAATCAACACCCACCTATCATCCATCAATGTCTATCATAGATAAATGGGAACAAGAGTCTATAGCACGTATTCAAAACATAGCAGTGCTTGCTCGTCGAAGACTTCTCGAAGTTTTAAATCAACATGTGGTGGAAGTGAAAGCAGAATTAAAAACATTAACACCAAAAATGCGTGACGCAAGGAATCGTATTAAACCTTTCAATGACACTAATATACAAGAATGGAAAAATTTATTACAGAATTTGAAAAAAGTACCAGACTATCCTGTTATAAATGACGAAAGCAATATAATATACGGAGTGACTATTGATACAAAAAAGAAACAGCAAACTTTTCAATTCGATTCTAATCCTCCTGTTGAACCACATTCACCTGTTTTAATTTCTAATGCTCATAATATTTCTCCTTCGATATCAAAGAAAAACGATACTGGAGATCAAACAACACGTGCAAGTACATCACCATCTAAGAAAAATGATGATAGTAAAAGAGTAACAATCAATAATATTACTTCGACCCGATCGCATAATATCACACCAGGAGGAGTTCTCATTATTAGAGAAGAAGAAAAGAACATTACTCCACCTGTTGTTACACCTGCCCCACGTGTTCGACGTGCTCATGCTGAAATTCCATTCGATTCGGGAACATATTATCCGCTTCGTGGACCAGCAACTATTTACGGATAATATGAGTAATTGACATGTATCAAACATATTATTTATTCGGTAAACTTTCGATTTTTATTAACCATACATCATATTTCAAAATTTTTGTAATAAATAAATGATATTTTTATATGAATTTGGAAATAAAGATTATAGATGTTCATATGTAATGACGCTAAAGAATTATGGATAGCCATCTAATATACTGTAGTAATGAAGAAAATCTCTTATAAAATGATTTAAGTTTGATTTAAATCAACTTTTCCCCCTTGTACAAGTATCTACAATCTCTGACTGAATTTGTCAATCTTTCCAGTGAATACAATACTCTCATTTATTACAGACATTTTTAAACCATTATATATTTTATTTTTCAACATACTTTTATTCACACTTTAAAACTTTTTACGAACAAACAACAGAAGAACAAATTAGAATAAATTAGAACAAAAAATATATTTAAGTACGAGTGCCACTTCTTTGATTATTTGGAAACACTTGATTCGTATGTATACCACAAACGAGTTCTTTGAGAGAAACGATCAACTGACTTCGAAATCTTTTTGATAAACAATAGCAATAAAATGAACTCTGAAAAAAATGAGAAGAATAAATATTTGTTTTGAAAATAAGAAGAAGATAATTTACCGCATATGGGCCATACGAGTAAGTAGCAGCAAATGAAGCAATTAATTGTTCCACTGCTCGCCTATAAGTATCTTTAACTACATTCGTTGTAACCGCTGAGTAGATTAGCCAAGCTGCATTTGGGCCATTAAAAATTAATACAGCGAATATCTGAAATAATGCCATACTAATTGTTTGCCTTGTAAGAGAAGAAAGTGTTCTCGTTACAGCGATAGTTTTCATATGTCGCACAGTGAGATATCCAAAAATAGAGACCACTATAATAGGAATAATAGTGTTAATACAAAGAGCGGTAAAATAAGTACGATACTGAGCAAATATTGTATTTGTTCCGATACACATGTGGGTACCTCCTACGATAACAAGATCTTGAAAGATGAAGTATGGTATCTCATGAATACACCAAAAACAAAGAGTACCAATGGCTAAATATCGTGCTATTCGAATATTACTCTTTTGTCGTACGCCAGTCGATGGAGAAGAACACATGAAAGCATCAATAGCTTGTAAGCAAATCAGAGTATATGTACTTTCACTATTAATATTACTAAGTCCTAGGCGAGTTTTACACCAAATCCTATTCATTAAAGTAAAATCTATTTGAAAGCCTGTAGTAAGAATTCGAGTAGTTAGACCAGCAAGAAGAATGTAGAGATCAATGAAAGTACGAACAAACATGTACAGTGAACATGCATTGTGTTTGTAATTTCTCACTTTAATGAAGACTATGATGTTAAGAATATTTCCTAATACACCACCGATCAATAGAATAAACCCTAAAATAAGAGTTGGATATCGAAAAGCATTTTGAATTTGAAGAATTGCTAATGTAATGCTTGTGTTATTGTTGGATGACATCGTCTCGTTCCTCACAAATACTTTAATGTAATGAGTGAAGATGTTACATTCAGAACATTTTCTTTTTTATTATAGCCATTCGATAAGGAACATTATGACATAGGAAGAGAATTAGCTTTTTCTTTGCACTAGAAGTCCACTGAATTATTTCTATGAAAAAAAGAGAATGAATTACACTCGTTTTCTGTTAAAGATTACAAAAAATCTTCGTACAAAGAATACAATCTTTTTTTTAATTAATTTGATTAGAAATGAACGTGTAGAATAACAAAATTTATGAGAATCTACTCAAAAAAATTATTGTATCAAAGAACTGAAGAGGGTGTTAGATTTAGCAACCGGTAATTTTGACATGCGTCCGGAAGTAATCTTCTTTCATTCTTTCATTAAGTCAGCTTAAATTTTTCTCTGTCCAAATTTATTTATATCCTTATTATTTCCTAAGTCGAAGCGATGACATGAATTAATAGGAGAAATTGATAATGAATAACAAATTTTGGATGTTTGCTAAAATTATTAATAGAATGCTTTCTTGATCATCATATGAACATTTACATATGTATTTTAATGGAGTTCATATTCACAAAATTCAGTGTCTTATCATTCGTTATAAATTACTTCAGTTGAGATAGTTCACCTCTTTATCTTGGTTAGAAGTTCTATTAAATTGTATGATTTATATATCACTTTTCAATAAATGCTTGTTTTTTTTGCGGCTATATCTCGCGTTGGAAAATGACTAAAAATTAGATTATAATCGATCATTTTCTGATTAAATGTCGATTATAATGGCATGATTTTGATCAGATTTTTTATAGTTTAATCGATTTTCTCCAGAATAAAATGACTTAAAATCTTTAAAAACCTCAAAAATCGCTAGATGAAGGAATAAGTGAGGACTGGGCGGGCGAGGATAACTGTATAAGTGTGGATGATATATTAACCAGTCTCCCTCATCCACATCCATCGATTACAACCAATTGAACCGAATAGATTTCTGCATTTGTAACAGCCATCTAATATAGTTTCCATACTTCAATACTCCTGATCTTTTAATGATTCAATTATAATAATAAGGTATATTTTAAATTTCTTTTCCAAATCAATAACCCAAACTCGATATATCACACAACCTCTGTAATAAAGATACAAGTACAAGGGAGGTAAAGCGGTTTATGATTTTGTGATTTAAAATGATTTTTGTCTGATTTAAATCAGCCTTTCCCTCATTGAATTGTGTGCTTTGTTTTTATAACTATTCACTTTCATTTTTTACACGCTAGACTTGATTGCTATTTATTCTTTTCATTATCTTTCATTTCATTTAATCTTTTGAAAGTAACAATATGTACATAGAAAAAATTATAGAAAATATTTGTGTAACCGATTTAGGTTATTGTTTATAATGAAAGTTAATATATGGTAATCCAATCCGAGTAATTTGAAGTGAATACCAGTTCACTTGAAATTAGAAATTTTAGATATTGGAACAATTTGATTACGTTGTACAGTTGTTTTGAACAATATCTTTTTATAAAAATTTTGCCAAATTTTCTTGAATAATAAATAGTTTATTTGTCGTCGAAATCGATTTGATGAGAAACAATATAAATAGAATGAACCCTAAAATAGACTTTAAATAAATTGTTTTTAATTTCTTATATAACATACGGCATAATTGAGATAATAAAAAGTACTAGTAATATTGGTGATTAATTGTTCCACAGCAATTCGAAGTGAATCATTTGTATTATTGGATGTATTTAGAGTATATATAAAAAAAAGTCCAAAAGGAATCGAAACAATGAATAAGTATAAAACACGTATTAAAACCATTGCAGTAAGTTGTCGATCAAGTCTTCGTCTCACAATTGGTATTTGAAGTCGAATTATATGACGAACATTTCGATACGAAAGTATACTAAAAACTGATGCAGTTATAAGAGGAATGACACCATTTAAAATCGATAAATGAATAAATGAAAAATAAAATTTAAAACCTTGATTTAATATAGTACAGCCAGTTACCGATGTAATTTGATAGAATATTCCGAAAGGAATACTGTATATAATCCAAAAGGAAATATTTATAAAAGTTAATCGTTTAGATAATGTCAATGAACTCATTTGTCTCAAACGATAATAATGACTTGTTGATAAATATTGATCAAAAGATGAAAAACATACTGTTGTTAATGATATCATCATACATGTATGAAATATCATTGGTCTTATCTTACACCAGACAAGTGATATATTCGTTAAATCATAATCATAAATATTAAGTTGAATTCGAGTAATAAATTCGATTAATAATGTACCACAATCAACAATTGATGCAACAATTATATAAAATATACATTGATTATTGCGGAAGATTTTTAAAGAAGTGAAAGTAATAATGTTTAGGATATTTCCAACAAGTCCCAGAATTAAAATAATGAAACTGGAATAAATAATAAATTGTTGAGAAACGATAGTAATTATTTGTATACATGATAATGTTGACATATCTAAATTATCCAAAAAAAAATTTATTTTTACAAATCGCTTCTGAAAAAGTGATACTAAGAACAAAAATCTTCTCATGAATGACATATATATACAATCGAAGAACGTAATAATAATGTCAGTAGTTTCTTATTTCTCATTGTTTATTCATTTTATTCTCTAATGAATACTATTCAAGTATTTTCAATGATTATTATAACAGAAAATAAAATATTTATAGATGAGAGTAGCAAAATTTTATTTGTTACAATTCTTTTCTTCTCTGTCATTTTCATTGAACTAACTAATTGACGTTATTATTATAAGTAGAGTTGCACTATGATCTTGAGACGTTTTTGTTAAAGGTACTTAATGTAACGAAGTTGAAAATTATGAAAAAAAATACATTTATACTATCGACAGTCTGTTAAAACTAATTGCATTTAGTCTAGATAAAGCAAAAGTATATATAGAAACAAATAAACGATGTTTTTCTTTATAATGATGAAGATAAAAATTCGAGATGATTCACGTTAAATAGAACGTTTTTTAGTACTGTGATATAAAATCGATATAAATATGAGTGAGTGCGGATGTCTGGTTTATCTTTACGTACATCCATTCAAGCATAAACTGGTACTATTTTCTTCTGTTGTACTCGCTCATTGAAATATTTTTTATTAATACTAGCCTACTTGACATATATATGTCTAAATTAGCTGAATTGATTTTATGAAGAACTTATCATCTCCCTATTTATCAGAGCAATTTTTTGAATCATGCTCTGATATTATATTTATTTTGAAAAAATTAAGTACCAAATTTATTTCAGTAGAAATCTGAGGAAAGAAATATATATCAACAGTTTTTTTTCATGTAGCTTTTCTTTTGTGTGTTGTACTTACTTTGAAATTTCATACTATTCATTGTTTTCACTTTATAATAATCGTAAGATGAAGCATGACGATGAAAATCTAAAATAAAATGAAATAATTTATAAAATAAATCAAAAAGAATTGGAAGAAAATAATAATGGTTTTAAGTAGTAGTTCTAATGAATAATATATGATAAGAATAAGATAATAAATAAAATTATTTATTCTTTTACAAGTTATGATATAACAAAAATGTAAATGGAAAAAACTAAGTTAACCTTTCTTATTTGTCATATTTATTTTACTCTTCAACCCTATCAAGTCGGATAGTGGCAATGTATACTTGTTAATTTATCACAGTATGGAAATAAAAGATTGCATCTAAGAAGAAGAAGAAGGACAAAATGATGAAAAATAAAATAGTAGTCACGAAGAATAATAAAGGAAGTTTAAAGCTATCGTACAAAACACAGCAGGCTACAAATAAAAAATGATTAGATGTATCTACAATTAATGACAATACCATTTTAGTAACCATATGATAAACTTCAGAAAACTTTCTTTTTATGAAAAACAATGAAGAAAGAAAATATTTTTTTTCTGTATTATTCGATCTTACTTAAATTAATATCAAAATAATACACTTCGAATAAGAACAGTTGGAAAATTAGACGAAGAATGTTTTAAACACCAAATTAATTATATGAGACACAAAAATAAATATATCATAAGTTAACAAAAAACAATTCAAAATTGTAAAGCAGATTTAACTTTTTTTGATCTGCCTTTGTCTCGTCGTTTACCTAATAATTATGAACGAGTTTTATCTTTAATTTCATATAATTTAAGAGATGTTCCATGAGAGCAACGATCTTACCTGCATAGGAAGAATTTTTGGTTTTGAAATGAGGTCTCATATTCGATAGAGCTCAGAAAAGTTATGCATAGAGCTAAATATTTAACCCTTGCTGAAAATTCTATCAAGAGATATGAAATAATCTTTAAACCCTCCTCAAGTCCTACTCGTGAAATTTGATGATTTTTCGAAGTTTTTACTGTGAACTTTATAAGTTCATCGGATGATATTGAAGTAGAGTCATGCAAACCGGCCGGGTACCCGGATCCGCAGCTAGTAACATCATAAAATTTCGAACATTTTAATTTTTGACTATTATTACAATGGAAAAAAAGAGTCGAAATAAATCTGATAATAATTAAGCGATTCATTATCCATCGTAATAATTCATAAAGACGAGAGTTCAGTTTCTTTAAATATTTTTTTATGCTTCAGATAAAATGGTTTTGTTGTTCTGTTAATTAACATTTTATAATATGAATAATTGTAAAAAAAATAAAGATATTAAAACAAAGTTAGATAAAAGTATTCTCAAAACATACTCAAAAACAAACTAAGCAACAGCAATATGGCGAAAACAGTGTGGGTGTAGGTGCATCGTCTTCTATATTATTGATACCCACACCCTTGATTATCTTCGAGATTGTTTCATAATGATGCGACCAGGTGGATGGTTTTCTATTAATAATATTATAGATTCACATAGTGAAGATGAATTAAATAATTATGCTGTCATGGCTTTGAAATTTCGCGATCTTCGTCTTGATTTGAATAAGAGAAAAGCATTAAGCAATACGATTCTTATCCTACTCGGTGATCATGGTTTGCATGGTCATAACTGGAAGGAACTATGGAGAGAGTTTGATCATAGGAATCCTTTTCTTCAAATATTACTTCAAAGTTTTTTTATTGGATTCAATGATATTATCAAACATTTGAATGAAAACAGTGATAAACTTATCACTCATGGTGATATTTATATGACTTTCACACGATTTTTTAACAGTTCATTACCATTAGTGTTACCAAAAGGGATCAATCTTTTTACACAAAAGATATCAGATGATCGCACTTGTCGAATTGGACAGATTCCTGGCAAATGGTGTAATTGTTGGATACCAAAGCTGTGTCTCTAATTAGGAGAGAATATCAAAAGATTTTTTCGATCTTTAAAAATATTTATTAATACGAAACTTATATCACTCCACATGCATTCTAAACAATGTTAACTAATAAAATATTATTTTTATGATTTTAATTTTTTTTATTTTCTCGATAATTTTTCTATTTGTTAATCGCTATGTTATTATCTAAAGAGGACAAAAAGGTGAAATTTATATGACTCAAACAACTGGTAATTATTTTTATTGAGTATATTAGAAGAACATGGGTAACTATTATATCTTAAAAAAGACGTATATTACGCGTCAGAGTCTGACCTCTTCTGAAAAGATAGATAGATTGGTTTGTTCTTTTTCTTTTATTAGTATGTATATAAAGGTGATAGATGAATATTATCTAAGGGCAAAGACACGTGTTAATAAAAGGTTGTGTACTATAAATTGATTATGTCAAAAGAGATTTTTCCAGTGAATAATTTTTGTCGATCGTATTGGATGTGTGATGATGACAATCTTTCGAATTATCGTTCTACAGTTGATTTGCCAAGTGAAAGTGATATTGTAATAATCGGATCTGGATATGCTGGTACATCTTGCGCGTATTATCTTTATAAAAATGCTGATTTGACTAAAAATCCATTAAAAATAACAATGATTGAAGCTCGAGAGACATGTTCAGGTGCAACAGGACGTAATGGTGGTCATTTGAAGCCCGATATTTATTATTCATACAAACGATATTCCAATAAATATGGTCAACAAATTGCTGAAACATTAATGGAATTTGAAGCAAAACAGATTGATGCAATGTCAAAATTGGTATCTGAAGAGAATATTGAATGTGATTGGACGGTAACACGAGCTTGTGATGCATATATTGAACCTGAAATAGCCGCAGAAGCTAAAGCATCATATGAACAACGTTGTGCTGATGGTGGAAATGTTAGTGATATTCATGAAATTCCTCCTGACGATTATCTCTCTATGACTCGAGTAAAAAATGTTTTGTATGGTGAGACATTTACAGGTGCTAGTATTCATCCGTATAAATTGGTTCATCATCTTTTGAATAAATGTGTTGAAAAAGGTATGAATTTGCAAACGAATACTTGTGTTTCAAGCGCAACTCGTCTTCCATCTGGTGAATGGTCGATTGTGACTTCAAGAGGTACATTAAAAGCATCAAAGGTGATCTTTGCTACAAATGCATACACGGCTGGTATTGTTCCATTGCTAAATGGCAAGATTGTCCCAATTCCTGGTACTGTATGTCGAATTATTCCATCCATAAATTACATGTTGTCACCTTTGGAAATGACCTATTCAATCCGATCTAATGGACATAATTTTGATTATATGATACCTCGTCAAGTTGGTGATCGATCAATTATTCTAGGTGGTGCAAAACGAACTTATATGTATAATAGGAAAATCTTTTACAATAATTGTGATGATTCCATGGAATTTATTAATGAAAAAAGTAAAATGTATTTAGAAGAATTTATGCCAAAACATTTTCATAATTGGGGAAATGATCAAAATGGATGCAAGCAAATGTGGACAGGAATACTTGGTTTTACCTCTGATTTACTACCATTTGTTGGAGAATTACCTGATCAATCAAATGGATATGTCATCGCAGGATTCAATGGACAAGGCATGCCCAGAATTTTACTTTGTGCTCGTGCATTGGTTGATCTCGTATTAGGAAGAATAGACAAGATTGAAGAACTAATTCCAGAACCATATATAATAACCAAGAATCGATTAGAAACGAAAGAAAATTATCTTTTAGATCGCATAGCTACTCAGTCTGATTTAACACATTCCTCTTAATATTCATTCTCTTATTTATTTTCAATTTTGAAAGAAAAAATAAATATTAACGGCAAGAACTAAACAGATTGAGTTGAAAATTACGAGGGAACATCTTTAGATGTTCAAGCATTTTAGATCCCGTCTTTTACTGGTAAGTAGATCTCGATGAGATTTGAAAAATCTCAAAAGAATTGATCCCCCCGTGCCTTTGTTCCCGAGTTATGGTCGTTTTACTCTACTTTTGGCTAACTGCAAGGTATTTTAAAAACATTCTGATGACGCATTGACGGTGGGTGAGGGTTTCTGAGCATCGTTTGTTCACCCTCCCACTCGCTCTAACACCCACACCCACCCTAACTTCATATTAATACAAAATCTGGAGTTTTAAATACCACCTGCTTCTTGTTTGGCAAGCCTTTCATTTCGTTTATTACTTAAATATTTTCTTACGGGAATATCGTAAATTATCATTACAAAGTACGCTGCTCCAACCAACAGAATTAGCCCGACTATGGTGATGAGAGCCAGTTGCATAGTGCCCGGCTTATGACTGGCGTAATAATTACCGAACATCCAAAACACGGCATAATGCGTCATGTACAATGGGTAAGAGATCTCTCCCAAAAATATGCAAACCTCTTTTAAGCTAGGTGTTAACGTAGCCCCTGCGCCCAAAGCGATCAGTAAGGGAAAGTAAAACAGTATAATCAAAGGTTCAGATAACCAATGACATTTTGAGAATGGTATTATAAAGGCCAGGAGCAATAATAGGGTTACGCCGATAAATCCCAGCTTGTTTTTGATGATCCAGTTGGAACGGTAAATAAGAAGTCCTACTAAAAAAGAATACGATATCCGGGCGCTCCCGTCCCAAAAGGTTGGGCCGCTCCAGCCGCCAAATAAATTGCCGGCACGATAATATACCAAGCAAATACCCACCGCCGATATTATGGTTAACAACCGCAGGTAGCCGCGGCTGATCTTACAAAGCACAAATGCGTAAACGATATTGGCGACATATTCCCAAAACAACGACCATGACGGTGCATTGAAGCTGAACAGGTTAAAAGCGCGGTCGGCTATTACAGGCAAGGGAATAAGCAGTATCGAGCACAAAAATGTCAGAATGATTTTACTGGTGCTGTACAATTCGGGATGACCGCCAAATGGGTCGAACAAAAATGCCAGCAGGCCTAGTACCGATCCTGCTACAACCAGCGGGTGCAGCCGAATGATTCTTGATTTGAAAAACTCAAGAACGCCCATTTTTGCTATACGATCGTCATAGGCATATCCGATCACAAATCCCGAAAGGCAGAAGAAGAAATCGACAGCCAGAAAACCGTGTCCGATAAAGTTCTTGCTGTGATCGACATAAACCCATTCCATAAAATGAAACGTTACAACAGCCAGGGCGGCCATGCCTCTTAATCCGTCGAGAATTTCGAAGTGCTGCTTTGTTTGCAGAATTACTGGGGCGGTTTTGTTCGTATCCATTTAATGTATATCTTATCAGCTAGAATTTGATGCGTCAATAACGTCTGATTTGCTGTTGCACCAAGCTATCTAAAATAATAATCTAATCAAATTTATAAATGAGCCGGACAGGTATAGAATTGTGCAACACCAAGCTTTCAAGTGGTGGGTCACGGGTAGTTCCTGTATTACGTAGCCCACTTATTCAATCACAAGCACAGCATCATCATTAGGCAGGGTTAGTTGGAAATTGCCATCTCTGCCTGTAGCCGGTGCTTTCAATACACCACCATTGTACAAATCCATAGAAGCAAAAAAAGCCTCAAATCTTTCAACTTGAGGCTTTCTTCTTCACGTGTAGTGGGAACCCAGTGTGAGGGTGTGGGTTTAGTTGGGTGAAGAAGAGACACACCCACACTCTCAATTTGCTACGTGTAAATATGACTTCTGCTCATTCTTTTAGAGTTATCTTTCGAAGATCAGGAGGTGACTAGCCAGCGAACCACTCTGTTCTGTAAAGGATTCTCTGCGCTTTCAGAATCACTATTTACGTCCCCATTAAAGTACTGTATCCTGATCAACATACACTCGAAGTACTAATCAAAAGCACGATAAGAAAATTCATTGATTATAATATGATGGTATAAGCGTCTCTTTGCCAGGCCCAGTTTCGTTCCTAAAGTAGCAGTCGTATTAGTCAAAAAATTGACGTAGAATAATAAATCTTTGATATTCTCTTTAGGGCACATCGGCAGTAATATATCCTTAAAAAGTTTATTAACTTCGTAAATCCTTCGAAAAATATTTTTTTTTAGTCTACGGTTTCTTTTAAAGGGTACATTAATGAATCCATTTCCGAAGGGTTTATGAAGTTTATAACCTTTTTTAAAGGTGTGTTACTGCTGATATATCCTCAAGGGTTTATCTAAGTGCCATGAATAAAATACCGTTCATGGATTTATCGATTGAAGGGGTACATAAAATGGTTTATGATATTAATAAATCAAAAAAGCGTATCTGAAAGGGTTTATTATTCAATATCAATTGTTTTTCAGTGATATAAAACTAACATACACTGATAGATAGAGAATTTCACGAGCTTTTGAGCGTTACAGTTAGTTCATTAAATGTCGGCTGAAAAACTATCGTTACGGCAAAAATACCAAGTCTAACTTTTGCTTACCACGTGAATAAACGCGTTTCGAAAGCAGCAGTTTTTGTCGTCAGTGTTTCATGTGATAATAAGAACGCATTTATGAGTATGATTCAAACACGTTGCCTTTTTCTTTTCTTTTCTTTTCTTCTCTCCGTTTCGTCCCACTCGTATGTTTTTTCTGTCATTTCTTGTTCTTTTTCTGTCTTGTTTCTCCTCTGGCTTTTTCTTTTTCTTTTCTCTCTTTCTTGTTCTTCATCTTTCTCTTCTCTTTTCTTTTTTTTTCTTTTTTTTCTCTCGGTCTTGTGTATTATCTGCCTTTTCTTTCCCTTTTTTCTTCGTCCTCTTTCTCGCTGTCTTCATTCCCATGTCACACATAATAATAGTGCCAGGGGGGTTACAAGAGATGGCAACACTGAATGCGATCAGTTACTCATCTTCCCCATCAGTATTTCGGTACACTGTAAAAAAAATAGTGTGAGGGACGTGAGTTTGGATTTGAGTGGGAATGTGTATGTAAGTGTAGGTCGGGATGTAAGTATCTCTTCTCATACTTACTAGACATACT